AGATATGGAAGACACTTGAATATTGTCAAGTCTTTACCACAAATATCGCTAACTAACTACGAAAATGATTTGAAGACGAACACAAAGACCACATAGGGTATTAGTGCGTCTCAATCATTTATATCACTTAATTGTCACTTCTAACCTGAACTTTAAAACTGTTTGCACTATTATAAAGGAAACCTTCAGAAATTTATACTCACATCAACTCTTGTCGATAAGGTGTCACCGAGTCTGCAACCATCAAACGACAATCATTACTTTCCACATCTAATCAATCACACTTCATACATCAACATTTGAATGAGGAAAAGAGCAACACGGAAGATCCAAAATTGAATTGTAACAAATACAAATAGAAACACATGAGGAAGACTTAGGCTATGAGTCCACTGCATGATACACGTGGTCTCGTGGAAACACATCACAATTTCACAAAAGAAATCTTGAACAGATAAGAAATATACTCACGATACCAATTAGATTTTACGCTACTTACTGTGAATTGTTTCTAAATTGGATATACATATTATCAGGCTTACACAGGACTTCACTCTTTGACGTGTGAATGACAAGCAAACACTTCTACATAATCCAAAAGTTTCCTAACTTATTTTCAATATAAGCACCTTCATTACCTTGTTACTCCAACACATGACAAAGCAAATATTAAACGGCAAAATTACTTACTTTTTAGAATTTTTAACACACTTTGCTGTTTGTCTGCCACCCCGAGTTGCAGCGCGAAAATTACAAGTCCAAAACGTAAACAAACACTGTGAGCAACTGTTGCACATAGCACAAAATATTTCAAAGTGTTTCAATCTTTATATTTGCGAGTTTACCGTATTCAAACTTACATTTCCTTTCTTCTTATCATGAAAACTAATTGATAAATTAAATATATTGTCTGTTTTAAAATCTTGAAATATTTGCCATTTTTCGATACTATCGCTATTTGTGACATGGTATTTTGGCTCTAAAAGTGGCCTGAGAGGTAACCCTGGACCCCGAAACTTTTGCCCGCCAAGCTTCCCCCTCCACTTTCTGAAAACCCCGAAGTGGACAGGCCCTGGGCGAAACGTGCTGTTTGTTTACATCTTGAAAGATTTCCTTAACTGCATTGCAAAAGCAAGAATTTCTTCTTAAATTTTGTCCTCAAATGGTTAAAGGCGGATATAAAACGTAACCGTTACGTATTCTCTACTAGTAAGGTAGGGACGATTTGGAGAATACATGGTTGTGTTCTAACCCTTACACAACAATCCAAAGTCTGCAAGTCTTGAGTGGTCTTGAGAGGGGGCGCCCCCCTTAAGCAAAAGTAGATCCGTATTATTTCATTTCGTTTAAAACTTTTAATGAAATTTTGTTTTCTTTGTTTAAGTATATGATCTAATGGTCTTCTCTCCTTGATCAGTTGAAAGCTAGTTGAAAGCAAACTGTCAAAATGGATTTGTATCCAGACAGGCTGCAAGTCATAGACTTGGCCAACAAAGCTTTCGGTGAATCTGGGTGGAGTTTTGGTATATCAAATGTTGCCTTGGGTAAGTAGGTTCTGAGGTAGAAATAAATTTTTAGTTCAGAGGAACTTTTTGTTTTGTGATTTAGTTGCAATTTTTCTCCATAGACTTTATTGATGAGAATCGCCCTGGAGTTTACTCTGCTGGTGCGTCAGCAGTTGTGCGAGTACAACGTGCCAATGGAGTTTACCGGGAAGAAGTAGGATATGGGTGGGGCTCTGGTCCACACAAAGCAGAAGTTATTGCTAGGTCAAAAAAGGTAAACAAATTTGTATATTCTACTAGTATCCAATAAATCTTAAACATCTTTATTACTTAAGAATATTTTTTTAAGGATGCTGTGACAGATGGTTTAAAAGGGGCTGTTATAAACTTTGGAGGGGACATTTTAAAGAGAGTTAATACCACTACTCCTAGGAAGCCAGTTAACTCATTCCCGGAAACTTCTTGTCCTCAAGGGAATGCTCTTTCAAAAACCCCTGTATCAAGTCCTGCTATGACAGCTGTAAAGCCTAGTGCCACCCTCAGAAACTTGAATGGTAAGTGTAAAAAAAAAGTGTTTTATGTTGCAGTATATTTTTGAAAAATTTAATTTAATTGAGAATGTGTTTTGACAGAGGGGCAGGTGACTGGAAATTTACCGTGTGCCCAAGTTATGCCTTCCACCATACCACCAGTAGCTTCAAAAGTCAGCCCAGTTCCGAATAGAGTGATTCCTGTTCCCCGTGTTTCACCTCCTCTGGCCGTGCCATTGCCAAAATCTACATCTAAAAGTGAAGCAAATCTATCAGAAGAGGAACAGGCAAAACGAGAACGCAAAAGGCGTCAAAGATTACTTCAGGAAGAGTTTAGAAAAAAACATCTTTTGGAGCAAGCTAAAAGTCAAGAGAAGCAAGGAAATGCGGAGGGTTCAGTGCCCTCTGAGCAGCCTCGTGTACCTTTGAAGGAACAAGTGTCAAATCACTATTCAAGGCAGCCTCAATCTAGCAGTAGAAATAATCCAGCAAAGGGAAATGCTGCATCTTCCTCTGTACCTGATGATGATATTTTACTTTCAACACAAGACATGGAAGCCATGCTTCAGATTGCTGATGAGACCAATATGTCAAGACGCGCCCCCATTTTATCGTCACCATCAATAGCCAAGTAATTTCTTCAACGTTAAAAAGGACTCTTCTACTTTTCCTTGCTAATTTTCTCCACTTGTTTTACAGTCCATCAGCCTCTGAAGCAAAGCCAGTACCTGGAAAGAAGAGAACTGACTTAAGTAGTTTTGCTTTTAATCCAGAAAAAAAACCAAGAGGATCTTAGAGATAATTATCTGGACTGTAGTAATGAGAGGGTTTACTTAGTAAATTTGTCAATCAAATTAGGTGAGTCAAGATGTTTACAATTTAATTTTCATATGGCTCTCAGTTGTTAAATGAAGGTAGACAAGATGCATTTGACATCTAATTTTCAAGCATCTGTATGCCTTGTTTTTTTTTTTTTATGTTACCTGTATTAGAAATATTCTGTTTAGTTTTGGAAAACTGTCAAGGTTATAATTTACTAATTTGTAATTAAATGTGGTGTATTGTTTGATGAGAGGTTCCGATTAAAAGCAAGAAATCATTTTGATGAGATTTATTTCCTATTGTTGACTATTTCTATCATGGTCTATGAAATTTCCAGATCTTCCCTAGGAACCATTGGTATACTGCACACTTCAATTCCCACATGAATTGTAACTACAAAATAATTGGCACACATCTTTTTATGCCTTTAAGGCACAAAAGATCACATTTAAAATAAGAGAAAAAAAAAAAAAACATTCTACAGTTGAGATAAGTACGCAGCAGCAATGGTTCACAAGGAAGACCAGGGGCTGGCAAAATAATCATTTGACATTTGCAGCTCTGATATGACACTTTCATCCATCTCGCCTTCAACAGCTCTTCATTATCACAAGGAGCTCAATCGCTTCCCATGTACACACCATAACAAGTGATGGGAGAAAGATGAATCTCAAAACAAAACAAAAAATCCGCCTCAAAAAGGGCAGATAGTAATAACAATGTACACAATGGTGACAAATCTAGTAACAATAACCCTACAGATACAATTTAGTGCATGATGGCAAACTGGAATCAGTCACCATTTTGCTATCAGGAAATAAATTGTGCTTTGACATTTTTTTTTCAAACTTCTTATTTTCTAAAAAAAAACAATGTAAAAAAAAGTCTACCTGTAAATTCTACAATTGTATGTTGATGAATTCCAGTACAGACTGCTAAATGACTAATTCAACTTGGCAGTGTAATATTAAGTCGTCCAGCGCCTGTACAATACTCTAATTCAGCTTTTTTGTACTATCATGGATCATTCGAATTTTCATTCTACTAGCTATTACTACTTGTTGAGCCCATTTCAACAGCACAAAGTATATACACATCTTCAAAATCCATTGAGCAGTCATCTGTGAAATTTCTTGTCCTTAACTTAATACTAAACATTGGGAACAACATTATAAAGAGGAAGAAAATCAATTTTGAGCATTACGTAGAAAAATACTCAGCCTTGCATTACCACAACCTGACTACCATTTTGAAGGAGAAGGAAAGCGGTCATGAAAGGATAGAAGCTCAAGGGACGGACCACTTCTTAACAAACAACAATAACGGCCGCTCCAGTAACGACACATAATCACAGGTTTCACTAACTTTAACACTCCAACACTAAAATCAGCCTAACTGATCAAATTTAAAAAGAAAAAAAAACAATTACTTGATATAAAACATGAATTAAAACAAATGGAAAAGTCCATTTCCACAGAGTAAAATTTAATACAATAAACAGACCTTGTAATCAGTTAGAATATTGATAGTTTCAATTACTTCTCGTAAGTTGATAAAAGAACTAGGTACATGCAACTCTATTAAGGTACATAAAATATTAATCAGTTGCAAGTCCATCATAAAGAGACCAGCCTTCCTGCTCACAGCTTACTTAAGGCACCTTGGTTAAGTTTTGAATTTCAAAATAAATATGTGATCCTATCATACACACAAAAAAAAATCATCTTGTCTTTCAAATAATTGTTTAAATTAACTGAAATAGTCAATTACTTTCAAATGTTGACTGGAGGAAAATGCAAATGAAATGCTTGCTCTGTGGCTGTGGGCCCATTCACATTGCAATCACTGAATGAAAAAAAAAGGTTTCCTGACCACAATTTAATTCTTGTCAGCGGATTGTAGCACACACACACATTCTCTCTAAACGTTACTCAAAAGTACGTACCTCAAAAGCAAATCAGTATCACAAGAATGAGTCCAAAGTATATATCTAGTGACTGCACCTCCATTTCAGGCACTTAAGCTTCACTTACACTCAATACAATTATTGACTCCCGGTCATATGTAGACAGAAAGAAAGCAACAAACACAAACCAAACGACAAATGTTTTACGACCCCTGGTAACCAACACTACATTGTTGGTGTCGCAAGTTGCTGCTGTTCCCTTTGGCGCTCCTGCTGTTGCACCTGAACAGCTGCTTCAACTAAAAGGTAAAGACACTTAAACTTATCGCGGTCCTCGACATCATCAGGGGGAGTCGGGGGTGGAGTCTCTTGTTGATGTGAGGAAAGAGGCGTGCAAAGTCGTGTGTTCCAATACTCTGCAGCTGTTTGGGTGATAACATTCTTAGCACTATTTGATTCTTCCTCTCTGCAATAAATTGAAATAAATAACAAAAATTAGAATTTTGCAATTCTGTTTACAAGTATAAGTGTCAGAAAAAAAATAATTAAAAAAGTCCTCACCTTTGGATGTTCAACTGCGGTCGATGCTGGTTGTTATTGTTGAGAGAGACCTTACAGTCGTTCTGATATCCAAATCGAATCACCGAATGGTGATTATGCCAGGGCTGGCTCGAGAGGGGTGAGGTGACTTCCTCTTCGGAAGGCGAGCTGCTCTCGTACTCGTTGGGCGAGTCCTCCTCGCTGCGGTACATGACAGTATCGTCATAGTCGTGGTCGATGCCCCGCTTGCCCGTGCTCCCGGGCGGGCTGGAGCTGGAGGAGCCACTCACTTGGCTGCCCCCGCTGCCGCCGCCCAGCTTCTTCCCCCTCCTCGATATCGTGTAGTTCTGGGGGTCGTTCCCCTCCCGTCTTATCATTTCTGGAAGGACTCTTCGTCTCGCGTTTATGAACCAGTTGCACACCTGAAACAAGTGATGATAAAGAAGTAAGGCAACTGACGCCGCAAACGAGAGGAAAGCAGGACGAAAACCTGGGGCAGAAATCCTCCTTCTCCCATCTCTCCACCCTCGGTGGCGGGGGCACCCACCTGCAGCACGGTCAGGTTGGCCTCCTTCGACAGCGACACCTTCTCGGCGTCGTTCGGGTAGGCGTTGTACCGGTGGTCGTAGAGCCAGCGCTTGAGGATCTTGACGGAGTACTTGGGCAGGTTGCCGCGCCGCTTGCGCGCCACCGAGCTGCTGCTGGACGAGTGGTGCTGCGGCGTGTGCGGGTGGCCGTGGTGCGAGTGCGGGTGCGAGTGCAGCCCCCCGGGGCCCGCCAGACCCACGTCCTGCTCGCCCTCGGACCCGCTGTCCGGGTCGTCCGTACTGCTGGATGACGGGAAGCGTTCCCGAGCTGCCGACAAGAGAGAAGAAACAAAAACGTCAAGACATTTCTTATCACGAGATTAAACTCTGAGCGAGCAACCGCCGCCTCCCCCAGATCCAGAATACGGCGCTTATCGTTGCAGCTCCTTACAACAGGCAATTCGATCCAATCAGCGCGTGTTGGCGTGTGCGTGGGAGTGAGTGAGAGTGAGATTGAGCGAGTGGGAGTTTTGTTTGATAGGGACACATGTGGGCCGCATCATCAGCCGAGCGGTACGGCACGGATATCCAAGTATCGCGTGTTTGGTGCTCGCGGGTCAACCCTCCTCTCGCCCGAGTTTTTATTTTATTATTATTTCCCCCGTTTCACTTCTTTCTCTCCGTCAAACATCACACACCGAGAGTGACACGAACGGACAGCCAGCCAGCCCGCGCCATCACTGTCGACGACAAACGGCGACAGCTTCCTGTCCTCCGCTGTCCACGCCACACCGCCGCCCCCCGCGGCGAGAGCGAGGCGCGGAATGCCGCCGTGGCGTCACCGCGTGCGTCGCATACGGCCGCTCTTCTTCCCAATTTAAGACCCGCGCGAAGGAGAGGAGAGAAGAGGAGAGGAAGGTGGTCAGGAGGACCCCCCGGGGGAGGGGGCACAGGGGCGGCGGGGGTCAGCGGGGCGAGCGCGGGCGTACCGCCGCATCGCGCCGCGCAACGCCACGCCACGCCTGCTTCTCGTCCGTCCGCTATTTCCGTCATGCGGACAGACTCCACCCACCCAAACTGGGTCGACGGCAGCGCGGCGCTCTGCTGCTGCTGCTTCGGCCCGGGTGGCACCTGCCAGCAGGCCCGCCTGCTGCAGAGCCGCCGCAGCTGCGTGCAGGTGCACTCCAGCTGCGCACCTGCCGAGGCGCCCAGCAGCGCCCACCGCGGCGGTGGCAGGTGCCGCGACGGACGCTGCGGCGACGCACGCACCCTGCCCAAGGCCCCCCCAACCCCAAGGCTACTACTCCTTTCGCATAGCGAAAATAAGCTTCAAGCTTAGCACCACGACACGACTGCCTCCCCCCCCCCCAATCCATTGCCACCGGCATAACTTTGTTGCGGAAAGAAGTGCCAAGACATTTGGTACAGCCGCGTTTGGGCCAGGTCCGCTCAGCCATGGCCGCCCGCGAGCTGCTCGGCCACCCACCCACGGCAACTTCGACGACGCGACGGGGTGCTGCTCGCGGGCCGGGCCGGGCTACCCCGACCCGACACCGCCGGACCTTGGCCAGCCCAAACAGACCGACCGGCGGGCGGCGGGGGCAAGTCGCGAATGAATGAAGAAAACCGTGTCACTCAAATCGCCAACTGTACAGCGTTTAACGTACGCGGCGTGGCGCGCGGGCGCGGGGCCGAGGCGCAGTAGCCGAGCCGGGTACAGTGGCGGGCGGCCGAGATAGCCCACATGTAAACACATTTCCGTATCAAACCTCGCGAACATATAATCGGAACGAGAGCGCTCGCGCTCCTCGCCTTCATATTCCCAACCCCGATCAGCTTATCAGCCAACAGTGTTATGCAAAGTGGGACGTAACGACAACTCGGGGCGTGGCGCGGCGCGGCGCGGCGCGGCGAGCCGTCAGCTGTCAGGGCGAGCGCGAGCACAAGAGTCTGACAGCGCCCGGGCCCGGGCCGGCGGCGGCTGTCACCCCGCGTCTCGAGGCACGCGGGCACGACAACGCTATACTGCTTGATCGGGGCGCGGGGACGCCTTCCAATCACCATCACCAACACCACCACGGGGAGCTGGAGCAGCTACAGGAGGGAGGGAGAGGGAGCCTTGTGGGGAGCCGGCGGCAGCTCCCATGCCGCGCGGGGGGTGACGTACCGCACGTGACCGGCGCTCGCCAGGCGCTACTAAAACTGTGTCAAGTTGTTTGTTGCAATCCTACAAGTCGCACGGGCGCGCGCAGAGAGCATTGCGGTAGCGAAGTCGCGGGGCGACGGCGGCGCGAGCGAGAGGAGGAAAGGGACGAGAGGGTCCGCGTCCGCGACGAAGATAAGGTGAGGCGCCGCCGATAGTGCGGTCGGGAAGGCCACCTCCGCGGCCACGGACACCCTATGCGGACACCCACCCGGACGAGAGACACGCCGCTCTGACAGCCGCCGCCGCCGGTGTTGGTGGTCGTGGTATACGCCATGTTGTCACAGTGCACCGCGAGTTAAAGGCGCGTGTGTGTGGTGTGGTGGGAGAACGAGAGGGAGAGAAAGGAGAGGGGGAGAGAGCGCAGGGCACCACTTCTTTCACCCCATTAGGAGTGGCACGCTAACACACACGGGGAGGCGAGCGAGATCGCCGTATGGAAGTGGCTCCCCCCTGCCTAACCAAAAGGAGACCCAGAAATGAAAAAAAAAAGAAATAGTGCCCCCCAGAAGTTTGACGGAAGTGATGCAGAATGAAATGGCATCGAAAAAATAAAAATAAAGAAGTCATTTTGAACCAACCCAACGACCTCGTCCTCCCCATGCGACCACGAACAGCCAACCTTATCGACGCCACGCGACAGGGAAGACCTGACCAGACAGAGGGAGGGAGGGA